ATACATGTGAAAGAACAATAAAGACATGCATCAATTTGTCTTTTTCTAGATTTATTCTTGTTTCCACTTGTAGCAAAAGATGAGTTTTGTGCCCTCCAAAAAGAAAATCCTTATTCTTCATCCTTTTTCTCTATTTATTAGTGGGAAATGGAATCAAACACTCAAAGTTGTATTTTAACCGTTTATCTGTGTCTATCTAAATGTCATTACGTCTGTAATATCTACATTTACAATATTGCGGGTTTGACTAAAAAATAAAAAAGAGTCGGATTCTACCAGATTAACAAGTGGCACTGTGACAATTGTGGATCTGGGCGTTGCAATTAAAAACCTGAGCTGAATCTGATAATTTTTTTCCTTGTCTTTTAGTCAGGTCTGCAACATTGGAAACGTAGTGATATTTGGGTAAACGCAGGAGGGAAATGACTAGAAGATCATTTGAAATGATGGAATGATTATTACAGAACATTTTGCTATTTTTAAAATTAAAGAATCTGGTAAAAATTTGAAATTTGATTAATTTGAAATGAAACGAGTGGTTAAAGAGAATGGAATTATCTTTAGATTCAATTTTGAAAAATGAATGTAAATAATGATAAATGATATTTCTTTTAATTTCTTGTTATAATAATTATTTAAGTCACCATCATTTATAGAAGTACTAGAATAGTACTCGCGCAATGTAGTGAGATATATCTAAATTTTAATTTTTTATTTTATTCATTTTCTCTGTTTATATAATATGGTTTTACGTGGTTTTAGAAAACGATATATTTTTGAAAGAATTATAGATATGAAAAAAAAAATATTGATAATATTATTAAATTAACTATTTAAAAGTTCTCGTTTTCTGTATAATTTCTTTAACTCCATTTTTATTGTAAATTTATTTTAGCTTTAATAACAAAGTAATTTACTTTTGTTTAATAATATAATTTTTATAAGAATGATAATTAAGTATTCTATTAAAATTTAATGATTATCCTAATTATATTTAAAATGAGATTTTATCTTGTATTTGATTATGTTTATCTATAGTTAGTTACACAAATTCAAAAATAAAGTTTTAATAAGTTGTACTTACGCACAATCTACTTGTACTATTGAATTTTAAGTAATATGCATCAATACACAATACTTTACGTATAAAAAGTGGTTTTTAAGAGTTTTTGTCAAATGTTTTATAATATAGTATAGATTATGTGTTTTTAAGAAAGCAATATTGATTTTATTTTTGAATAAAATATAAATTTGAAGATATCATAAAAAATTAAAAAAATATATCAATGCTAATATCAAATCAATTATTTAAAAGTTTTCATTTGTTATGTAATTTCTTTAATTTATTTATTTTTATTATAATTTAATTTAAATTTAATAATGAAATAATTTATTTTTGGTTTAATAATATAACATTTTATAAAAATAATAGTTAAGTATTCTGTTACAACTCAATGATTATCCTAATTATATTTTAGATTTTTTATATTTAAAATAAGATGTTTATCCTGTATTTGATCATGTTTATCTGTAGTTAGTTACACAAATTCAGATATGAAGCTTTAATAAGTTGTACTTACGCACAATCTACTTGTAATCTTGAGTTTTAAGTAACATGTATTAATAAACAACACTTTATGCATAAAAAATGGTTTTTAAGAGTTTTTGTCAAAGGCTTTATAATATAGTATAGATATTACCTTTTTTTTAAAATAATATATATTATTTAATTTTTTTTATTAACCTGGATATCTATCCCGCTATGCAAGCCGACTGATCCCAGGACGACCACCTGCTTTACAGATAGTCCGGAGTCACCGCATTTGAACCTCCGTGGCCATAAGAAAATTTTTATTTCTCTTTGGATTTGAACCTGAGACCTCCAGGTACTTTTGACCTTTGGAGCCAAGCTCAAACCAATCATACACCACTCTTGTTATTAAAATTAATTTTTTATTAAATATACTAAAAATACTTATTATTAAAATTATTTATCAATTAATCTTTGAATAAATGTTACTTTCCGTCATTTGAACATTTGTGAATATGATGTAACCGAGGGTTGGGAAATGGTAAGAATGAAAGTTACTGTAAGGAATGTAAAAAATTGATCTTTATCTTTGAATCAATCCTAATTAAAGATCAATACTAATGTAGTGCATCGAGATGAATCGGATCAATTCCTGTGATAAAAGCAATTCATGGGTGGAGGTGAGATTAAAATTGATTAACGGTCCATATCTCTTTTTATGCTTCTCAACGTAACTTCCATTTTCATATGTTCTTTCGTCATGTAACTGAATTATATGTGTTTACGTAATAATTAGATGATTAATGCATTCACAAAATTTTAAGAATTTCGGTAAATTTACTTACCACCATCTTTGTCAACCAAATAGGCCTAAGAAATTAGGTCAATAGAATTGATTATGCGTGTTGATGAGTTGGGTTGATCATGTTAAAAATATTTGAATAACTTAATTTAATGTTTGCAGTTTGAAATTTTTTTATCCAATCAAAACCATACGGGTTAGTCGGGTTGATACTTTGGTGTATCAAAATATTTTCTTAACCTTGAATATGTTGTTTTTTCTATTCATAATTCATTTTTCATCATCAATAATTTGATACAGTTTATCCATACTTCTTATACCTTAAGTATATTACATTCAACTGTTTTTTTTTTCAATTTGCAGATATAAGTTCATATTTACTGATACAACGAGTTATATAGAGATGGAGAATAGATTAAAAATATATGTATATGAAATGGGTACGCGATAGTGTAATTGTTTATGTGCATATAACGAGAATTTAACAATAATATTAAATCCAAGAAATAAAAAGACACCATGTTCATCGGTTGGGTTCATATAACTGTAGCCTAATTTCAATCCAATATCTATAGTCTGAAAATTTTACAACTCGACTAGACATCGGTTTGCTTTAGGTTAGATTATTTCACATTGGGTTGAGTTGGGTGGTCGGGTTTTTGAACACCCCAACAGATTTTGTCAGAATCAACAAACCAAACACATCCTTTAATGTTTTCGTTTTGCAAAATGTCCATTTTTGCCCTTAACAATAATTTTTTGTTTCTGTACGGCATCAACGTTACTCTCCATATTTTTTCTCATGTAACGTATTATTAATAAATTGTAATGTCTAGATAGCTTAATGAAAATCGAGTGTTGTTAAAGAGATCTGTAAGGTGAGAAGTCAAGGGTATATCTTGGACCAAGACAACTTTAAAGGAAATTGCTCAACGTTAAGGCACCTCGTCAAACATTCTAACGCCTGACAAGCTAAACAAAAGAAGTCGAATCAACATTCATGATGATAAAGCCATCCACACCAAAAAGTACCAACGACGCAGTAAGGGTCGAGCCAACAAGTAAAACAGTGGCTCGTGAAGTACTCATGTTATGATCATCAGACCCCAGATAAGGATTATAGAGATCGTTTTGAATTTTTCCTATTCTAGAACGACAATTCATGCCTCTAAACATGTACAAAACAATTATGGTAGTATATATATATATAGAGTTTGTTTCAAATATAACTCATCGCATTTGTACAACCAATGCAACCCAATAAATTAAGATATTTATGAAAATGATGAGAGTTCATTTATTATGATTTGAATATTTATGGAAGATGAATATGTTTCATTAATTATGATCAATACTTTATATTATGAAACAATCAAAACTTCTATGAAATCACATATTAATCAAATGAAATGAACGGTTGAGATTAGGTTGTATTGGTTGCACAAATGTCAAGGGTTGTATAATAACCAACATCTCTCTCTCTCTATATATATAAATAAAAGACCCATTTGGATTGTTTCGAGTTGTCAAAGTGGATTAAATCTCTCCTTTTGTTCCTTCTTGTAGTAGATCACGTAGGATAAGAGATTCTTGAGTTGAACGTTGGAAAAATACTGAAAATGAAAAAAACGCAGTGAAGTGGATTTTTTTTCATTTGTGGGTTATTTCATTTGCTACGTCACAGTTAAAGTTGTTACGTGATCGTGAAATTTAAGGGTATGTCCGATGTCTTGTGTAAGAGACCAAGATACCCCATAAACAGTGCAGAGTTGAAAAAACAACGATTCATTTCTTAGCTGCTATAACGGCTGAATATGGTTTGACGAACCCTTGTAGTTCAAAATCATATAGATGACTAGGAAATCGTTATAGCCAGGTCACCAAGGACGAAACTGATCAAATGTAAGACATCCAATAAGAATTACTGTTCATATTTGCAACACGTGCAAATATATGCCATTATCAGTAAAAAAAAGTAAATGACAGATCTTTTGTCAATGAAAGGCATTTAGACACAACCACATGATTAACCCACAAGCATAACTTAAATAACATCATTTTGGCAATATTTTATAAGTTGTAATAGCACGCCCTGCTACAACTCTAACGTCATCGAAAAGCTGTAACCTTTTGACCCTTAAAAATCGGTGATAAAATAATTAGTCAATTATTATATCAGTGATAACTGTAATTTATTTTGAAAATTTTCGACTCAAACCAGTCACAAAAAAAAAAAAAAACAGATTCAACTTCAATTTCATATAATTTCCATTGTATTGAGATCTATACCAAAAGTAGGCTTTATCGTAAACCTATTATTTATATAATTAATCTAAACAAAATTAGAAATATAATTTGATTAATAAATAATAACATTTAATTTTAAAAAAAATAAAATCACCAATTTTTATAATGTTTGGTGTCTATGATTGCTTATAAAAACAACTTATTGACTTATTAAGGTATAACACCGAAGATAAGCATCTTTTAGTATTTGGATAAACAACTTATACCAGTGTCAAACTGATAATAAGAAGTTTTTAAAAAAGTTAAATCATTCTAACTTATAATAAGTCAATAAACATTGTATAAAAAAACATAATTTGTTTTAAATAAGCAATTCCAAACAGAATTTCCATAAACAAGAGGATTAGGCTTCTTAATGGTGGTCAAGAATCTCAAGCTAACTGCCATTCATACATGACCACCAGTTTGTGCAACAATCACAGCTTCCTTTTTTCCCCAAATTTCAAAATTTGATTTCTTCATCTACTACAGTTTATACCATCTCCAGATTCTAGAAACTCCCACCAATTTCATCTTCTCTCCTTCACCTTCATCTGGTTCTTCTGTGATTCCTTTTACTCTCACAATCATGGAAACCCTAGCTTCATCTGTAACAATCGTATCCTCTTCTCCTACACCCCTTCAATTTTTCTCACCAAGATCCAAAAACCCTTTTGGGAAAAGACTCCTTCGCTTCCCAATTTCTTCCAAGAGTAAGCAATTTTGGATTTTTTTTATGTTTCGGAGTACCTTTTGGTTGTTTTTTCCCCAAAAAATAAGGATTTTTTTTCTTCATTTGTGGTTTCAGATAATGACAATGATTCTGATCTGCGATCAGAGTCCAATGATGCGAGTATTGTCCCAATTTCCACCAACCGAACTTTCTCCAAGGTAATCATCAATCAATTTACTTGCAATTTACGTATACAATCATGATTAGGGTTTTCAATTTTAAGTACTTGGATCGATTGCAAAGTTAGGTACCCTGTTAGTTTTCGAATTCTACCCTTTATCTTAACGGGTATTTGCATGATTTGCTCAATTGTTTGTTAGTTTTCTGCTTCAATCATGAATTTGGGGGAGAATATTATGCTGATTGTGTGTTGATTGATGTGTATTCAACTTAACTGACAGAAAAATTGAGGGGAAAATATTGTTTTGATTCATTTGTGGTTTCCTTTTTTGGGGTAAAATTATGCAGGATGATGCTATGGGATTAGTTTTGAGTGCAGCAAATGTTAGGGGTTGGACTACAGGATCTGGTATGGAAGGTCCTTCGGTGCCTGTGGGTGGAGAGTGCGAATCGAGCACCGAGAAAATCTCCACGTTTCCGTGGTCTCTTTTCACCAAATCTCCAAGACGTCGTATGCGTGTTGCTTTTACTTGTAATGTGTGTGGTCAAAGAACAACTCGCGCAATAAATCCCCACGCTTATACTGATGGCACGGTTTTCGTTCAGGTATTCGTGCTTCATGTTTTACGACTCTCTTATCTTTGATTTATTAGATGCCCATGAGGAATTGTTTGATTGGAGATGCCGATAGTCTTAGTTTTTCTTACTGTACTAGTAGTTGTGGGTATACCCGTTGCTCGTTTGCACACACCGTCACTTGTAGCTTGCTCGCTTGTTTTGATTTTTGTTTTGCAAGTCAGGATCTTCATGGAAACAACCTTTTTTACCGCATGGGCTAGAGGAAAGGTCTGCATACATCCTACCCCTCTTAGCCCCTATCTCTCCTTGAGATTTACAAGGTTCGTTTGGTTTGCTGATGACAAGTCGTAAGCACTTGATGATCTTTTGTGTCATGTTTTACTTTTGGCCCATGGGAAACATTGAACTTGCTGATATTCTCAATCGTATCTTTGAAAGAAGCAAAACCGAACTTCAGGAATCTAGAATCACTCACTTTAACTAGATTGGGTCCAATTCGTTATGGTCATTTAAAATGTTCGTTTTGTGGGTCAATACATATGGTGTGACGAATGAAGTGGTAGTTTTGGCCCTTTTAGGTCTTGTTTACTTGATGTGGGTAGAAATAAAGATGAGACCCATGAAATCAAGGACGGGAATAGGGAACAATATAAATGAATGCGACTTTAATTTGCTAATTGGAAAGGTAAAAATGCTTGATCTTCGAGGACTAAACCAAACCAAACGAGCCCAATATATCCCACCCAAACTGGGATCTGGAGGTGAGATGTACGTAGACCCTTCTGCGTTTGGTATGGGGGACGGGACAAAACAAAACCTTTTGTCCCAAATTTGGTGCAAAAATTAGACAGTTTCTTCCCAAAAGATTAGACAAAGACAAGACAAGACTGAGCGGGACAAAGATCAGGGAGATGGGACAAGATTGGTAAATTACTAAACTACCCATGTCAAATCTTCAACAATTCTTTTAACTACGCACCTCACTTTTGTTCAGTCTTGTCCCGTCCAAATCCTGATTATTGTGTTGATTAGGGTGCTGGATATGCATACATATAATTGAAAAAGAATTTCCTATTGGATTTTTAGATATGCATACATGATACATGTAATTGAAAGAAGACACGGAGCGCATTGCATAGATTATAAGCAACAAACATCATCCATTGTAAACCAAACTAAACAAGCACATAAATCAGTAATCCCACATGAAGTAGAACCTGCAAGGGTAGGATGTATACTGACCTTACCTCTACCAGTACTTTTTCCTCTGTGAATGTTGTAAAGCATGTTTTTTCTCACATGGTACAACTATTTCACGCTAGACTCGCGTGATGCTTGCTAACGACCATATCTTTCTTGTTTCGACGGTCATTCTCTTGTGCATGATCTTGGTGTCGGGCTAAACAGAGTATTGCTAATCATATGTTGGTTTTGGTTGAAATGCAGTGTTGTGGGTGCAATGTGTTCCACAAACTTGTAGACAATTTGAATCTGTTTCATGAAATGAAATGCTATGTGAGTCCATCCTTCAAGTATCAGGATCTAAATGGGAATATTGGCAATCTTGGCTTCAAATATCTAGACATGGATGATGATGATGATGATGATCACATGTTTCCACTCTTATGAGGTAAGAAAAATCTGCAGAAGTTATGTATTTGCTACTTAAGAACAGCACACACTCTTCTTGTGATTTGTAAATAGTTTTGGTGTTAAATAAATAAAGTAGATGAACAATAATAGCTTTGATTGTACATGAATCCAAATGTTATATATATATCTTACCCTTTGAATCTGCCTACGCGTGGGATTTACTGGGTTTATTTGGTTTATATCTGGTAACTAGTCGGGTTTTTAGCTCATGTGCAATTTACTTGGTTTGTTTGGTTTATGTATGGTATTTAGTTGGGTTTTAGCTTATTTGTATTTTTTGTTTTCATACATTTTCCACTGGTTAGTGGTTTTTACAGAAACAACCACTCTACTTGTTAAGGTAAAGGTCGGGTATGCGTAGATCGTACTACCTCCCAACCCACCTCCACGCAGGATATATTGGATTTGGTTTGGTGGGTTGGTTTAGTTCCTCTTCGACCCTATCATCTACATCACAAATGTTGAAATTACTAAGAATAATAGACGGGGTGACTTTGCGCAAATATAATATAGGTATGCGTTTCAATATCATGCCCCCGCTAGCCTCAACCATCATAATATGGCTCGTTTGTACTTGAAGAAAAGGGCCAATAACCAAGTAAAAAAGATGAAGACGATAATAATATTACAAATTTTAACACCAACTTAGTGTAGAAAAATATAAACAACGAGTCCGTCGCTACGTCTTAACTTGGGGATCTATCTGAACTGAGCTTCACATGTTATCGACAATTATAACGGATCCAAACAAAGCGATGCATTCGTTGCACAAGCCTTGTGTCAAACGCCGTGTTAAGCATGTTTCAGTCCTTAGTTCGACTAATCTCAGGGCAACCACCTGCTTTATAGATAGCCCGGAGTCACCGCATTTGAACCTCCGTGGCCACAAAGAGATTTTTATTCATCATTGGATTTGAACCTGAGACTTCCTGGTACTTTTGACCTTTGGAGGTCCAACTCAAACCAATCAGGCACCACCCCTGTGATTTTAATGCTTAATTTTTAGGGTTTAGCAATTACTCATTTTTATTTAGTTGTTTTCTTACTCTATCCAACTGTCGAACCTGGTTTCCATTAGCATAGTGAGTGACACATAGTAGTGCAAAAACCTCTTTGGCCTTTTGATTAAAGGCGTTTTCTTGTCTTTTATTGGATGTAAACGTATATCTAAAGTATTCGAAAAGGTACGCTTTCTAACCGAAAATATCTCATCATGAAACTTGAATATAGAACTTCTAAATCAACAAGTCGCCCTCCCTTCTTAGGGGTGTTTGGGATTACTTATAAAAACAACTTATTGACTTATTTCGGTGTGATACCGGTAATATACACTTTTGAGTGTTTGGATAAACAGTTTATACCGGTACCAAACCGATAGTAAGGAGTTTTTGAAAAAATTGAACCTTACTGACTTATAATAAATTGATAAGCATTTTTTAGAAAAACATAAACTGTTTTAAATAAACAATCCCAAAAACACCCGTCATACACTTTTTGTCATCAAAAGGCCAAGACTTTGAAGTGGGTAAACACTAGGCCAATGGGCAAAATAGGAATTTACAAAAAAGCCAAAAAAAGCACAACTCATCCCAATTTACAAATATACCCCTTCTTGAAATGCTTCATTAATCTATATATCAACATATCATCCTAATGTTCATGATCTAATATATTATATATACATATGATATAGACACAAGCAACACTTTTCGGTTTCGGAGACGGAAATCTTCACGAGACCGGGCATGCCATCGACTTATAGGACCATCATACTTTATCTTTTATTGTAAATTAACCGATTCTTGAAAAGATCCCGAATAAATGATATAGTTTTAGAGAATAGACGATTTTGGTTATGCACAAAAAAGGAATTTTTTTCAAAGGGTAGTGTTCATTTTTGTATTTCTGTATAAAAAATGGTTTTTTTTGGACAAAATGACAAATACGATGGTTTGAAAAGTCAAAGTCAGATAACTCTGGGAAGTTTTATGTGGTCAAAGCAGTAGGGAGGTTGGCTAGAGAACCAAGAACCTTACCCCCAACATCTGGGAAGTGTTCATGTCTCGGTAACGGGCTTACTTTTCCGTTGGCATCGACTTTGATCGGGTATTTAAGAAGATGGCCTTGTAAGGGACTGAAATCATCAGAAGTGTACTTTCTCCAGTTATCTTCTGCCAACTTGTTTACGCTTTGCATGCAGGCTAAGCTTTCGGGCTCCATAAATTCATCATCGATCATTGCTGTGTGTTCGGCCCACAACGACATTCTGTACCCGTATACCTGATCAATTAATTACATTCAATTCTAATAAGCTTCTCAACCAAGAAAAAGAATCAAACCAAACAAACCCAGTATGTCCCACTTGGAGGTGGATGTACGCAGACCTGTCATCTACCTAAAAGTAGAGCAGTTTTTCTGTAAAGACCCTGACTTACAAAAAAATGTGTGAGAAAAAGAAAGAGCGACCTTATGCATCAAGGCTCCTTCCATAACTGAAACATAACCGAAACCTTCCCTTTTGGACCAAAATAAAATATCACGAAATTTTCAAAAAACCAAACCAAACAGACCCTGTATATCTCACTTGAAGGTGAGATTTGGGGTGGGTGTGATATACACAGACCTGACTTATGCTCAAAAAAGTAGAGCGGTTGTTTCTGTGAAGACCTCCTATTTGTGCAAAGTGCGTGAAAGAGAGGAAGTTAGCCCACAATATTGAAGTGTAAGAATGAGAATACTAACTTGACCACGGGGGTGTCGGTTCTTGTTAGTCCATGTGTGATGAGGCTGATAAGCCCCCATGGCTATTTCGGTATCTCTTGAACCCGCCATGGATCTTTGATTAATGTTGGCAGATCCCAATATCACATATTCATCATCTACGATCATTCCTTTAGCGTGTACGTATATCATGAACCTTCCATATCTATAAGACGCCGAAACCTGGAAGATATACATGAAACACATCCTTAAACACTGTTCTATAAGTGTTTCAAATTCGGGTATGATCTACGAATATGTTCATATTTTTGTTTTGAGTTGGTAATGGACAGATAAGATTCATATGGATGGACACGTTAGAAGACAAAATCCCTCAACATCTGAACAAGAAGAACAAATGAAACCAAGGGGCTGTTCACCCGAATGCGCTTACTGATACGAGTCAACACTATAATTTATTTTGATGCGTAAGATTTTAGTACATCAAAACGCATTGAATGAAACAATTTACCGGGTGAGCGCTTACCTGGATGAGAGTTTTCATCTTTACTTACCGGGTAAGACCCTCCATCCTTCTCATCGCTCTTACCCGGTAAGATTCTTGGTCCTTGTCATGTCCATCCTATGAAAAAATTTATCCGGTAAGCACTTACCAAGTAAGCGTTTAGTAAACGGCCCTAGGTAAATCTCACGCAATGTATGGTCTGAATGAGGAATCAGCAGAAGTGCTTCTAAATGGCACATGCTTTCTTCAACTCAATTGGCTAAAGGGCTATTTGGTTGATTTTCCATTAAGTCATGTATGGATAAAGCTGACTGTATGAATTGGATTAATTTTGCATGTATAGATCGACAGGGCTTTTGTTTGGTAGGGCAGTTTCATAGATGGAAGGACCGTGTTTTTTTCATTTGGGAGGGTCAGGTTTGGAAAAACTTGGCTTTTCCCCCCTAGAAGCTTGGCTTTTCCCCCCTAGAAGCTTACCAAACAAGCCACTTTTTATATCATTAAGCCATTACCAAACACTCATGTATAGCTGATAAATAAGCTGCGAGTATCATTAAGCTCATTAAACTGTTGACAAACAGGCTCCAAGTGTTTATTATATTGTTTGTCAATCATCAAATGTTCTAATAAGATGTTGCCTAAAACCTACTCATTAAAGTCAAGATCCATATCATATCATTACGGAACTAGATTTTCGCATTCAAACCGACCACAAAGATATAATAAAGCCAGTTCATTATAAGAATGCTTAACAATCGATAAACTAGCAATAAAACAATAGAATATATGTACGAAAAGTTGCATGTTTACCGAATGAGCATTTGAAGAGTGACAGATGCCTGAAGTCGACACTTCTTCCGGGCATTCTTCACGGTTACCGAGGCAGTAAAAATTTAAGTAATCCAGTGGATGTCCGTTCTCAACTTCCGAACTCTTCAACTCTTTAGCAATAATATCGTACATCATTTGCATAGTTTGTCCCTGATGAAAACATTTTTTTTAGGATATGTGAAACCCCATTAAATCCGTCTTTAAAAAGCCATTATAGAGATATGAAAGGTTTCTATATATATATATATAGATTTGACGGTTTGTGTCTAGCTGAAAAAGGACTCAAACACGCCCACTCAAAAAGGGACAAAGTCAAATTCTAAATAGACCATTGCTCCTTCTGAGTGTTATGAAATAAAAAAGTCAAATGCCACCGTACCTGCCAATACAAAATTTGTTGAACGGCGACAGAGTTGGGATGACCTTCAGGCCACATAGGAATAACAACGTAAACTGAAAACCGCTCATTTGCCCTTATCTTATTAGCAATCTTCAACGCGAGCTCCATTGGAATTAAATGATCAGCACCTAACAATAGGAAAAAAAAAGTATGGATTTGGGTTAAGTAACAGACGAGATCACAAACGTCTTGATGATAAAGGTAAGCGCTTACCGGTAAAAGTCACCATTCTCACTTACCTTATTGGGTAATATTCTCGGCTATCAAATGGATTGTTGGTAAGCTTCTTTTACCCGGCAAGTGCTTACCAGATAAGAGTCCTCTCTCTCACTTCTCACTTACCGGGTGAGAATCTCGGCCCTTGTTATGCCTCGTACAGGTAAAATTCTCATTCCTTGCCATGCTCACCCCGTAAAGTAAATGACATATGGTAAGCACTTACCTTGATAGCTTTTGGTAAACGGGCCCCTAAGTTTGTTGGTTTGGTTTTAGGAGAAGACTAATAGAGCTAGCCTAATGCAAATGTAAATGTTATCGTTTAGATGCTCAGAATGTGTTTCATCCCCGGCCACCCTTAACGGATATCGTCTGTTTTGTCCACACGTGCAGTCACAGTTTTAAAACGCATATGATATAGGAAAGGTATCCACTCCCTTATAAGGCAACTTTAAAGCATCTCCAACAGGTTTTCTAAATTAAAATCTCTAAAAAGAATTACATTCAACTCCAACAAATTCTCTACTTTAGAAATTTCAACATAAATTATATTATGATAAATTATACCAATTGTAACATCCCCGACCAACCATACCATATATTGTCCACTTTGTCCACACTTTGACTCATGGTTTCAAAATGTATCTGATACGGGAGGTATCCGATCCCTTTTAAGGCAACCTTAGTTCGCCCACTTGGGATCTTACATAATGGAGTTAAATTATGTTGCAGTAGAGACGAGGACTAGATACGCTAACTAACACGTAAACATTAGATGGAACTTTTAAGGTAGGAAGTGTGTAAACCTGCATCTTTATTGGATGGCCATGCATATGATGACCCAAGAAAATATTGATTCTCGATATAGATGAAGTTCTTGGCGGACCTTATGGCTCGAATGTATGCTTTCTGAACGCTTCTATCGATCACAAGATTTTTTGCGCAGACTAGATTCTACAACAAGTGAAAGCATTAAGATTGAGCACTGCTTGTCAACTACTTACAACTCGGGGAAACTTGAGTTATTTAGGAGGATAAACATCCTCATAGATTTTTTTTAAATGCATGACCTTTTGACAGATTTAAGAACACCTAACCATATGCCTCTGCCCTACACTACAATAAAATTGGTTTATAGGATGCAAAAAATGGCTAGGTGTCCTAATAGATGACTTTTCACATGACTTAGCTTATAGGACGAAAAAATAAAGCATCCCATCTAAAAGTGTAGTAATAAATTTATAGGACGTTTTTTGTGCGTCTTACCAAGTTTTTTAGGACATATTTAAAACAAAGGCGTCATATTAGCTATTTTATAGGACAATACTTGAAAAAATTGTCTTATAAAAAGATGTATTCATGGTACACTTCTCAAAAGTGTCCTATAAAATAGCTAATACGACGTTTTCTATTAAGAATGCCTAAAAAACTTGTTAAGATGCATTTAAAAGCGTCCTATAAACTTATTACAACACTTTAAGATATGATGCTTTATTGTTTGGTCATAAAAACTTATCCTCTAAAGCGTCTATTGTGACACTTAAATGTTGTTGGCGTCCTATAAACCCGATTGTGTCGTAGTGCTAACAGAAGAATGTCTCTTTCGAACACAAGAATGCCTCAAAATCTTTCAGAAGGGTTTATGCATTTAAGAGAAAATCTATCTAAAGGCTATTCTCCTACATAGCCCAGTGAAACTTCTTTATAACAAAAATAAACCTGAAGTTCAGCTTCTTGAACATCTTTCGGGAATCCTCTCAAAGAACCAGAATCAATTGACCGGAAAACCTGTGAACATAAGAAACAACGACAAATCAAACAGGCTCAAGAGTTTGAAGAAAAAAGAAGACGTTTTTTGGTATACGCTGCAGAATAATGAACCTGAACATGCCAGTTTTCGGGATCCTCCTCCTCTGAAACCCATAATGCTGGATCATCAGTTGGAAGTTCCGATGAAGGACTTAGTATCCATGAAATACGCTCTATCTTGAGTAACGCATCTTCATGCCAATGAGATATTCTTTTGAAACGGCGTCCAAGTTCAGACCATTTTGTGGCTTTTCTCCATCTTTGTTCAAAGTTTGTGAGGACATCGTATGCAGCAGGACCATCAATTTTGCAATGTAGATCATGCCATGGTTCCCTTGGAGCCTTTGTACCTGACTATTGTGGAGGGATCATAAGGCATGGCATATAGTCTCAAGGTTAAATGTGCAACCATGACATTGAGTGTGTTTAGTAAACAGGACAGGGTAGGACAGGACAAGACAAGACTGGACAAAAACTTGTTGTTCCACATTCGATGAGACATTAAACTAGGACAAGAAAAGGACCGAGTGGGACAAAACACGAAAATAGATGGAACAAAAATTAGGGAGACGTGACAAAGATTGAAAAATTACTAAACTACCCATTTCAAATTGAAGCTCTAAAACGTTCCACAGTTATTTGACCCACCTACCTTACTTTTACTCGTACTGTCATGTCCTGTCTAGTCTAGTCTAGTCCGTGTCGTTTGTTCATTTAATACCCTAAAAAGGTACAAGAGTCTAATTTATATAATTTATAGACTTACAGAAAACGTTGGATTGTGAAAATCGTTTTCAAATACAGTGTCAAGATCACGAAATAAACGATGCTCTGGTGTGTCATAGCGTCCATCACATAGGTCCAAACCTCCAATAAAAGCAGATATCTTCCTGTAATTTCCCTGGGCTTGTGTATCCACTATAACACATTTCTGATGATGCGTATATAGGGTCCCAACGACCTGTATCATGTGCAAGCATCAAATCGTCGTTAACCAGGGTGCCGCTAGTCCAAAGACCAGTCTATAGTCGTTTTTTGAGTAAATACGACAAATATGAAATTTACCATCTTTTACACTCTTTTGAAGAGACGTAGAATGTCATCATCAGAATATATATGATGCAAATAGTTTCAAGTTATCAAAAACGCTCTATCTTGAGTAACGCATTAAAGTATAGTTGTATTCGAGGTCCACAAGTAGAGCAAGTCGATTCAATTTCTTTTATGACTTATGTTAAGGTCTTCAAATTGTTTGCGGTTTATTTAAAGGTTGTTGTTTTTGTGTAAGATAGTTTAAAGTTATTAGATCGTTTAGCTTTTGGTTTAGATTGTTAATATACTGTTTGGGTTGAGCTCTTTTTTGAGCTTAACGCATATGCATCTTTGTTATATCAAAAGCTTTAGGTGTACAAGAGCCTCCAAAAAGATTGGAATGTCCTTGGTAATAATCTAACAGGAAAACAGTGTGAATTAAGTAAGCTAGAATCGGAAAAGTGGTCGTATAAGCATACCTGTTGCTTAATAATACTAAGCTTAGTACTCGCGTATCGTGGAGACAGCACGCAGTGTACAGACGAGTGTTTGAAAAACTTCCGAGTGTCTTCGTCGTGAGTTTCCATCACTCCTTCCTGCACAGAGAACCATCTGAAGTATTTATCATCATGAAGTGAAAGACGTGTTTGTTTTTAAAAAAAAACTCTTATTTTACCACTTATGTCTGATTCGGTCAGACATAAGCCAATTCAGACCGTTTGTTTTTTTTTCTTTTCAGAGCCACTTGTCACTTATTTTCCTCATAAAAATTAAGTGATAACCTAGCCACTTATTTTCCTCTTAATCCTGAAGACTATCCCGAGAACCGATTTCTACTTCTATCATTCGATCGACTTCACCCTCTTAATTGATCGACTTTACCCTCCTCACCGTCTCAATCGATCGACTTCACCCTCCATCACCTCTATCGCAAATCGACCCAAATCAGATCCAAATCAAGAGGGTTTTCTTCACTGTGGTTTTTGCCACTGTGTGTTTTTGTTCCTGTGCAAACCAGTAGTTGTGCACCTTTATCCTTGTGAATCAAGTGGGTTTTTGCCGCTATGTGTTTTCGTTCCTATGCAAACCAGTAGTTGTGCATCTTTATCCTCGTAAATCAAGGTATTTTCATCACTGTAGTTTTCATCATGATGGAGATTGTTTTGATTTTAGAAGTGGATTTGGGCGTTGGAGTTTAGAGGAGTGGTGGTGGATGGTGGTTGATGTGGTGGGATGAGAGTGGAGATTAAGGATGGAAGGCTTGATCTAGAGGAGAAGGAAGAATTAAAGAAATTTTGGGAACATAAACATAAGTGAAATCAGAAATTTTACATATTCATATGTTTTATTGGTTACAAAAGCAAACTATTGATTCAGATTTCAGACTGTCAGCTTACAAAAACAAACTGACTAATTCAGCTTTCAAACTTCAGCACCATCTCTTAAAAATCATAAGTAAAATCAGACTTCAAACTTCACCTCCTCTTAAAAAACAAACGCTAACTTATCTTCTTTTTTATTTGTTCTCTCTCCGGTTGCATTCACCAGTTCATACTTTCTATTTCAGGTAAGTTGGTTAGGCCACCCACATGGGGCATGCAAACACAATTGCAAATCAACTTTTGTCAGAGTATGGATTGCCAAGTAAGAAAAACCTTGCAAAATTTGCAAGTCAATTTGAAAGCCACGTGGGCCACCCCTTTCCTCTAATTTTATTTTTCTTTCTTTTAATTATTTAAATAAACTATTTTTATACAAAACAATTAATTTTATAAATTAATAATGTTAATATATTTTTAATTACATTAATTATATAATAAATTAAATTATTTTAAACATTAAATTTTATAATTACATAAAATTATAATCTAATATATAAAATTATATCATATATTAATCGTTTTAATTAACATTGAATTAAAATAAAACATGTTATTAATTAAAAAATAATTAGAATGTATATATAAATAATTTATAAATAGTTAATAAATGTTGTAGTGGGGACCACTTTTGAAAGTGTAGGTGATGTGGCACAGTTGAAAGTGTTGTAGGTGAATTGCAGGTGTGTGGAGGATAATTGCAAAAGCTGATGTGGCACAATTGAAAGTGTAAATGGATTGCAGGGATGTGGATGGTCTTAGTCACATAGGCTATTATATTTGACTTCCTAACCGGGCCCACCTTTATTTGACTTATCCGACCATACTCCCCGGCTTGTGCACTTGCTATTTACCTGTTTGTAGGAATATTTTTGCAAGTAGCACTTTAACAACTTACTAATCGAATAGAGAAATGGATATATATACATACCGTTTTAATGAAGAATTTATTGTGTGAAGTCTTGTCATCCCAAACAAGCAACAAAACTCTGACCCCTTCTTCTGATTTGTACTTCAATAACTCCCCAAGCGTCAAATCTCCACCATTTGGCAATGGAGCATTTGGCTCTCTAACCAACTTCACTTTGTCGTAAATTGACCACCCAACAATATACACCAAATGATGGGCTTCTAATATAGCATGACATATATCTTCCCAACACCCCCTCTGCTTATAAAAATTACACTTTACACCCTCTTCTTCTTCTCCTCCTCCTCCTCCGCCCAATTCAATCTCCGGTAACTGGCCTTCCACAACATGTGCATCCTGATACAGAGTCACATTTCCGCCGCCTCTCACCGGAAAATAACTATCTCTCAAGCAAAACAACTCCTCGCCGTCGAATGATTTATCCTTCCTCTCGGCATCATCACATGACGTAAATTGGATCTGTAACCTAATTGAGGCATTAGGTTTTGGGGGTTTACCAAATGGACCAATAATTGAGAACCAATCGTCGATTAGCTCACCGGATTTTATCCTCTCGGCCGAGATTGAGGCCACACCGATCAATTCCGCACCGAATACATCATTATCCTTCACCTGAAACTCCACATGTGTTACCGGATGCGCGACTGGCGTAACGAAATGCTCGTCCCAGACAGGGTCTTGGGAGTTAGGGATCACGCGCGTCCGAGCGATGGTGGCACCGGCGAGACAGACTGTGACGTACGGGTCACACGTGACCATTTTATGGCGGTGCGGTGTTACTTTCCTCTTCGGTGGTACAGGTGGTTTGCAAGAGTCGAAGGCGTTTAAGCAACGTCGAACGCGTTGCGTGAATACGTCCATGTTCGGCAAACATTGAGCTTCGGCTATCGTGAAATCCAGATCTCCGTGAAGGTAAACGACGGCATCGGAATCTCCGCCACCCATCGTTGCATCACAAAGCAACAACATCAGTATATTTCGTAATTTGATTAATGGAAGTGCATTGGCGTTTCCATCCAGAGAAATTGAATAAGGTATGAAGTTTAATGGATGTGGTGGTGCCGTTGGACTTCCGGCGGTGGCATCCAACGGCGGCGAATTCTAAAATGGCAAGGCTGCGGCGGTTGGAGGCCACGAAACAGCAACCGTTTATATGAAGAAGACGAGATGGTGGTGGTCGTATGATTGGGCCATGAAATCATTTCTGCTAGACACGTGGAGGACCCAAACTCAACATTTTTAAAATCTGTCTTTACATAAATGAATGATTGTTTATATGTATATTTTAATAAATTAGAAAGTTAATCATACAATATAGTAAGACACATTTCAATTTTTAATGTTTCGTTTTTTCTTAGTTGATATTATAATATGATTTTATGTGGTTTTGAAAAATCGATAATGTTTTTATTTTTAAATAAAATATAAATATGAATATGTTATAAAAAAAATATTAATATTAGTACCAAACTAACTATTTAAAAGTTTTTTTTTGTGTATTTCTTTAATTTATTTTTTTTTATTTTTGGTTTAATAATATAATTTTTTATAAATATAGTAATTAAGTATTTTGTTAGAAGTCAATGATTATCTTAATTATATTTTAGTTTTTTTTTATTTTTAAACTGAAATGTTTATCCTCTATTTGATTATGTTTATCTGAAGTTAGTTATACGAATTCAAACCTGAATCTTTAATAAGTTATACTTACGCATAAGTTACGTGTAATCTTGAATTTTAAGTAATATGCATCAATAAACGGTACTTCATGCATAAAAATGATTTTTAAGAGTTTTTGTCAAATGCTTTATAATATAGTATAGATAACAAAGTGTTTTCACTTCAAGAAAATACTTATTTAATTTTAATAATTGATTTTTTTATTAACCTGAATATCCAACCTGTTACGTAAGCTCACTAATTCCAGGCTGATTCATCAGCTTTGTGAGTAGTCTGGAGTTATCACATTTGAACCTCTGTAGCTATAATAGGATTTTTATTTTTTCTTGAATTTGAACCTGAGACCTTCAGACGTTTTGGAATATTGGAGACTAAATTCAAATCAATCAGGCACCACCCTTGTATTTTTTCCGTCATATCATTCATAAATAGTATCACATCTAATGGTTGTTTATTTATGTGTCTTTCACGTTTTCGTAAAATGTATCGTTTTTGTTTGAATCTCGATCTCGTTCTTTAACATGACATGGGTTTCAAATTTAAACCAATTTCATATCTTAGGGCAATTAATTATTTTCGTTCTATAAGTCGAAAAATAATTGTTGTAGGTCCTCTTAATTATGATATATTTTGACTATATCTGGTTGATTATTTTATTCTTTTAAGTTTGAAAATATATTCTTTGTTTAATTCTTATTAAATTAAATATTTTGTTTACGAATGTTATATCTGATTCGACCCTCTCTAATGACCATGAAAACATCTCACAAAATTCATTGGTTTAGCCTCATACGAAGAAATTCAAAATCAAAGCCGTCCTTTTTGAAATCTGTTATCGATTTCGAAAAGATAACGAGACAACAAGTAATATCTATGCCGATATTACGTTCATATAAAAGAAATTAAGCAACGTTGTTTTGGAATCCACACATTCACGTCCGTTAGAGTTGTGTGAAATCATGTTTCCGAATCTTTAAATTGAAAAACATAAATCAAAAAGTAATTATTAATTATGTTCTCTTAATTCCTACATATATATAACTAATTTCGTATTAGTTTTACCTGATAACGAGTCTCCAAATAACTGTATAAGTTGACGTCCACTTAATTGTACATGATCTACCAGTTAATAATCAAAAAAGTGGACACGGATACAAGAATTGGAAGTTTATACAAATGGAAGAAAATTCATCCCAATACTTAGGTATGTGAATCTTTGGTTTCTTAGGAGATCAGAAGTTCAAACCTCAATAAATGTGAGTAAGGTGTATGAGTTTATTTGTTCTATTTACTGTATACTAGAATAGTACTTGCGCAATGCAGTGAGACATATCTCGGTTTTAATGTTCTATTTTATTATTTGTCTCTGTCGATGTTATAATACGATTTTA